ATTGCAAGCTCAGACGGCAACAAAACGTGGAAACTTTGCAGGGGAGGAGGAGGAAGGGGAATACTTTTGCAAGATACTGTATATATAATTATTTATTTCAAAATTATAAAAATAATGAAACTACAAATCTACCTGAACTGCTGCAGATCTTGTACTTTCTATATCCTCTTCTACCTGGAAGCCTTTTGACTTTTCCATGGATTTCTAGTTTTCGATGCGTATTCCGAAATCTTTGTTTGGACAAAGTCCAGTATTCTGCACTTTCTGGACTATAGTTACCTTTCAACCTGTCCCATTCCTAAATAAAAATAAGCATTTTCGTGAGAGACAAAAAAAAAAAAAATTCCTAAAGGCAAAAGCTCAAACTTTTCTAGAAGTCAAAACATCTTTCTCGATATAAATAGCATTCTGGTCAGATTGTGCAGTTTGTGAAATTGATTGGAAATATCCCTTACATTAGTTTCTTAACTATCAAGCTGCGGGTCGCGTGATCAAAACCCGGCGCTAAACATCCCCGTCCCCTCAGACGTAGGGACGATACACATGATGGTCAAACACACTTTTCGTTGGTATTTGGCTGCGCAAGAATTGGTGGTGGATGCTATCAATCGATTGCCCTTCTCTATTGGGTAATTCAAAATTGGGGAAAGCGACAGAAAGCTTTGATTACTTTTCCACAAATAATAAAAAATATATACGTTAGTGACTTCTTCGTCCGCTTTTACATCTGCATCAATGAATTAATAAACCAAAACTGTAACTTTTAATTGTGTATAATCACAAACTTCGTTTACTTGCTCGTCATACCATTCGTATTAAACGGCATAAAAGATGTCTAACACGAATTATAAACGCATATAAAGCGAGTACTATTTTAATGAAGCTGCTGTAGGGGAGCTCCAATTTAAGCTTTTTTTTTCTATGCCTGTTTTCTTATAAGATTTGCTTTTTCTTAACCCAATAATGTACACATTTCTGTAAGTAAACGATAATCGACTGTTTAAACTAATTTTGATGCCTAAAAATCAACACAATAGTTTCAGCTTCAAAATTATCAGTTTAAATATCAAGAATCATTGTACTGGTCATGTACAACGTATCATAACAGTGTTTAGATAAATAGTGGTCCTCTGGTGTCAATTAAGATTTCAACAATGGTTATACGAATCGTAAAGATGGTTAGATTGTTGTAGTGCAAAGTTACATAACAGGCTACTTGATCGGGAATTGAATCGTAAAAATGGTCGTTTCAGACCGTATGGTAACTTGGGTAAAAAAGCGAAAAACTCCTCACAAGTTACCATGGTAATTTAATATGACAAGTTATATTAACCAGAAGTTTGTAGATTAAAGATCCAAGTGTTAGGATTTTGAAGTTATAAGTAAATAAAGGGTGTTTACTAATTTGACAGTAGGTGTGTGCGAATGGGGTAAGCACATGGACTTACGAATGGTTGACTGGTTCTGATACAAAATTCTATATGTTCATAGGCACGTAGTTTCAATTGGCGTTTAGTTTTCCCAATATAGGCAGCTTTACAGTCATTACAAGTGTATTCGTAGACGACCCATGAACACAGAGAAGTAAGCAGAACGTCTCTAGATTTAAAGAAGTTGGGAATTAAGTTATGTCAAAAATGAGTTTGCCAGCAACTTTTATTTATTAAATTGTGTATATACATATATTTGTGGTCCCACTGTGGAAATAAAAATAAAACGAGACACATATAGATTATTCGTTCTGATAAACGTAAAACTTCGTACAAAAATTACCTTACAATATAAACATTTGAAATATCTATTTTGAAACTTAAGTTTAAGTCTGAACATACATTATAATATATATATTTGTACTAAAGAGAATGGGCCCGGCATGGCCAGGTGGCTCGACTCGCAATTTGCGGGTCGCGGGTTCGAATCCCCGTCACACCAAACATGCTCGCCCTTTCAGCCGTGGGGGCGTTATAATGTGACGGTCAATTCTACTATTCATTGGTAAAAGAGTAGCCCAAGAGTGGCGGTGGGTGGTGATGACTAGCTGCCTTCCCTCTAGAAGTACACTGCTAAATTAGGGACGGCTAGCGCAGATAGTCCTCGTGTGGCTTTGCGCGAAATTCAAAAACAAACAAACTAAAGAGAGCTCTTGTTGTAGTGAATATATGAAAAACAAAATCAAATGAACATCACAATCACACAGATTTCAGTATGTTATATACTACACCAGTTCAAGAATATAGGGGTTACATAAACATAGTCAACTTAAACTACACAGCTTCTTCTAGGTGGAGTAAATGGCCGCAACTCATTTACCAAAACTCGCTTATAATTAAAATACCCGATGTTCAACAAATATTTACGGCCTCGCATCGACACTTATTCTGTTTTCATTCCAATTTGTTTTTTTTCTCATTTATGCAAATTTATTACTGCACGTAAGTTCTACGACTGGGCGCGTTCATGTATCAAGTACTTCAACACATGCACATTCGTGAAAAGTTGCTGCGTTTTACTGTTTGCAGTTATCAACTGCACAAAACAAATACAAGGATAATCGCCATTTATAATACAATAGTTACAAAAAAAGTCGAAACAGTGTTATAAAATAAATATAATAAAATGTCCCTCCCATATTTCATTGTATTGCAAATCAAGCACCTGTGCATTTGTTTGTTTATTTGTTGTTAAACGCAAAGCTAATTATTGGGTTATCTGTACTCTGCCGGCACTGGTCCTCTGATTTGCCGCTGACACGACCTAATGGTTCGCTCGGCTCTCAAACTGTGGGTCACGGTTTTGATTTCCCGTTACCAAACGTGCTCTCCCTTTCGGCCGTGAGGGTGTTATAATGTGACGGTCAATCCCAGTATTCGTTGGCAAAACAGTAGCCCAAGAGTTGGCGGTAGGTGGCGTTGACTAGCTGCCTTCCCTCTAGTCTATCACTGCTAAATTAGGGACGGCTAGCGCAGATAGCCCTCGAGTAACTCAAACTAGAACCTGCTGCTGAGTCAGACGGATGGGTGGTCATATAATCGGAAATGTAAATAACTGATCATTCAACTTATGCTATAGATAATGTTCTCACACAGTCTTGCATTGGTTGTCACCCTGAGATGAATCAGAGCTTCAAACATCGCAGCATGGCTAGACCTTAAAGACATGTGGATGTTTTCTTGGATGTATGGAAGCCGGTCAATTACAGCACTGTTGCGAATTAGGCTATAAGTATCTTAAAGTGTTATGGAATAATAAGAAATAGCTTCTAAATCAATGCCCCCCCCCCCCTGATGGGCCAAAAGTAAGTTTACGGACTTACAACGCTGAATTTTCCCCGCGGTAGACACAGCAGATAGTCCAACGTGGCTTTGCTTTTAAACCAAACAAACAAACAAATTAATAATGCAATTAAATGGAAACCTGTAAAGGCAGATAACCATTATCCACAAACCAAAGTACCAGCAGATGACCCTCACATATCAATTATTGCTTACTACAATCGTAGGGTACGTCCACAGAGATCGAATGACGGGTGCAACTGGATGTAGTGCAGCCACGAATCATAAAATCTTATCTTGGAGGTGAACGCTTCACGCCGAGAGTCTGAAGGCTGCTCCAAGATTTAGGGGAATAAGCTCTTAGAATCTTGATAACTTTTAACAATTTAGGGAGGTGAAATAAATACCTGTCTGCCTATTCGTTTATTTCTTATTCTTTTTATTCTTATAAAAGTTTCCCACTCACACCGCTAAAAGCCAAGTTTCGATACTCGTAGTGGGCATAGCACAGATAACCTATTGTATGGCTCTGCCCTTAGAAACAAAATCATATAAAATATTTTTTTCCTCTGCTTCGTATGCAAAATAATATAAACGTGTAAAACAGACAGCAACATAAAACTGGCTATTCCCTACATTCCTGTTAATTCGACTAAGAAGGACTTTTTTTCCGTGTTGTGAATAATCCTTAAATCAGAAATATGAACAATATTAAGAAAAGTGATTTTATAATACACTTCTGGAGGGATGCTGCCAACAGTAACAATACTAAAACATCAGTGGTGATATTTGAAGAAATACTTCTCTATATTCCGACTACTCTGGTATTTGCTTTTCCCTAATGCTTTGCAATCCTCCTTATTATTAATGATATGTAAACTACAATTAATTTTTATTCGATCACTTTACAGTCTTCTCAAAAATGTATCCATTTTCATATCATTGGCGTGAATGCATGCTTAAACTCATTAAGGACCAGAACTATGTTTTGAAAACATTTTTTGTTGTATTTAGCTTTAAAAAGTCATATAAACATAAAAACACTAGCTGACATAAAACATTTATTTTTGTAGAAATCCTCTAAGGATGTTTGTTTTTGTATGTTTTTGAATTTCGCGCAAAGCTACACGAGGGCTATCTGCGCTAGCCGTCCCTAATTTAGCAGTGTAAGACTAGAAGGAAGGCAGCTAGTCATCATCACCCACCGCCAACTCTTGGGCTAATCTTTTACCAACGAATAGTGGGATTGACCGTCAAATTATAACGCCCCCACAGCTGAAAGGGCGAGCATGTTTGGTGTGACGGGGATTCGAACCCGCAACCCTCAGATTGCGAGTTGAGCGCCCTAACCACCTGGCCATGCCGGGCCATCCTCTAAGGAAACGAACAGGGAACTGGACACAAAATAATGACGCCAAGTCAATTATGCAAATATAATTAAAATATAAGCGTGAAGTGGTTTATGAATTTATAAATAAATCTCAATTGGACTGTATTTCTATTTAAAACAATGCAACGTCAGCATAACATGAAAAGTTTAAACCAATGCACTCGTAAGTTTTTAACTTATAATTTAAACTTTCGATCTAAAATTGAGACGTTGCCATTACCGGGTTAAAACGAAACGAAGGGTAACAATACAAATACGGATAAATAAAACGAACCAAAACTACGCAAAACAAACAAACAAACAAAAAAAAACGGAAACTGATAACACTGCATGTGATTCGGGGAATCGGCAGATAGTCGAGAGTATGTAGGTAGTGCACCTGTACTCTTCAAATACACTCATAGCTGTCCGTGTGGTATTACAGCAAAAACGGTTAGCAGCAGACTGCACAAAAGGAGCTTGTTTACTATGAGCCCATTGTATAGCTTTGTGCTAAACACCCACTAAGGTAAGATGCATTCCACAGCAAGGCTAAAAACAGTGGACCAAATATATGGGGAACAGTAGTGTTTTTACTTATGAACTGCGCTTCACCCTCCTACTAGATAAAAGGAATATTCTCATTTGAAGATAATTTGTAACCATAATCAATCCCATTTTAGTATATGACAGTTACTGAAGTATGGTGTGTACAGGAATAAGCATTGGTGGACATATCAATCTGTAGATCGTGGATAATGGTATCATTGTCATATATAAGGTCCAGATCTTTAATCACTTTGTGCTGTCACATGGTGATGCAACTAGCCATAACTTCAGCCTAATAGTTGATAAAGCCCACCCCTACTGTGCCATACTGGGTAAAACATTCCTTGTAGAAAAGGGGAAATTACTTTACAACTTGGCTTGCACACTCACCAGACTTCAGTTCTATCGAACTAAGAGGTTGTATCCAAGTCAAAGAAAATTAAACACTAAGATTTTTTTTTTGGAAATATTGTAGGATACTTCCAGTCAAGGTGTAAAGCCTCTTCCAGCAAATGTTCCTTTGGTATATGACAGTTATTGAAGTATGGTGTGTACAGGAATACGCATTGGTGGATATATCGATCTGTAGATCATGGGGAATGGTATCATTGTCATGAACTGTGAAGATGTAAAGCCTCTTTCAGCAAATGTTCCTTTAGTATATAAGTTATTGAAGTATGGTGTGTACAGGAATACGCATTGGTGGATATATCGATCTGTAGATCATGGGGAATGGTATCATTGTCATGAGTTGATATATCCACCAATGCGTATTCCTGTACACACCATACTTCAATAACTTATATACTAAAGGAACATTTGCTGAAAGAGGCTTTACATCTTCACAGTCTGTAGATCATGGGGAATGGTATCATTGTCATGAACTGTGAAGATGTAAAGCCTCTTCCAGCAAATGTTCCTTTATGAATTTTGGATAAATGACAAATATTTTGCATTTCAGATAACACGATGAACGACTAAATATCTAATTAGCATAAAATATAATTTCCAGTCATATTTTCAAACGTTGTGTAGATTGTGTACAATGTTACAAAAAACAGAAATTTTAAGTCCTACATTTTGGTTTTGGTTTGTTTTGAATTTTGCGCAAAGCTACAAGAGGGCTATCTGCGCTAGCCGTTCTTAATTTAGCAGTGAAAAACTAGAAGAAAGTCAGCTAGTCATCATCAACCACCGCCAACACTTGGGCTACTCTTTCACCAACGAATAGTGGGATTGACTGTCACATTATAACGCCCCCACGGCTGAAAGGGCGAGACGTTTGTTGAACTGGGGATTGGAACTCACGACCCGCACCTACATTTTGACTATCTTATATTTTGATTGTTCTTAAAATGTAAGGTTTTTTTTCTTTAACTTGACCTGAATGATAACTTTTTACAGCAAAATATTATTACCGCAAAATGTTCAAACTCCGAAACCTGCCATCCTCCACTGCTTTTATGACTCCATTTCACTTCGTATTCTTTTTCTGCTTCGTTTGTCCATTGCAGTAACCCTGGGAACCGGTTACGTCGTAGAGATGGATACAAAAAATCCCTCAGAAACAGAGGTTCAACTCTTGGCATTTTGCAAAATTGAAGTAGGTGCAGCTATAGTACAGAAATACAACTGAAATAAAAAGACGATACCATTAGTAATATAGTATTACTACAGCCAATTATAAATCCGCAACAGAGGCTGTAAATCATGTTTGATAACTATAATCAGATCCACATATTTTTATGCTGTTTTTTATCACTGTTGCTATTTGTGAAAAATATAATGGCTGTTGGATTTGAGTGCTCACAACATACAAAAATAAAAATTATCGTAAACAAAAAGTAACATAACGATACTGTTATGCATGTGTTCTGTTCATTATAATTAGAATCAGTATCGTCATATACAGATGTATGTAAAGGAAATGCAGTTTGGATTATTTTACACTGTCGTTTTTTGTTTGTTTTTTTGTAACAAAGCCCCTAAAACTAAAACAAAAAAGAAACAGACTGGTATACTGGTCTAACTAATCTTTAAAACTGTCGTCACTACCATTAACGTTTATCATAATTATCTGTCATTTACCTACCTTGCCATTATTTTCAAGCATAATTGTGGTGGAAGATACACCCGCCTACCACATGACATTCGATAATTTCTTTAAATGTTTCAACGTCGTTTTTCTAAACATATAATCCGAATGTCTGAAAAATACTTTTGTTTTAAACATCCTAGTTGTCTATCATACCTAAAGGTCTTTTTGCTGGCTTTATACCAATGAAGGTTTAGATAACACTAAAACAAAGCCAATATATATATGTTGCAATTCTAGGTTTATTTCATAATGCTATAAAAATCTCGTATGAAACCAAATAAGAGACCAACATATCATAAAACTATCTCCACACATACCGATCAGTCGCACTTGTTCACGTGCTAAAAAGATAAATTTCAATTAACCTTGAAAATATAATAATGAGAATTTACTCCCGTAGGTTAATTTAAGTTACAACTTACTGTTCAAAGTTTTGCCAAGATCAACTGACATACCAATGGCCTATTCAAAAACATTTATAACGTTTTCTTTCAGTGTTAAACCCGCTAGCATATACAGTCTTGGCATATAGTAGTTATTGAGTAAATGCCCAAGTGGTAAAAAAAGAAGATAGCACATGATTGGACAAACATGTACTGTTGTTATTATGGTCTGTTTGAGCATTTGTTCGTCAAAACACACATATACACCTGTTTTGTATAAAAAGATGTGCCTTTGGTATAATATCTTTCGAAACAGATCAACGCTTTGTTCAAACAATTTCTCTGTACTTGGTGTAAAGTCACGCCTCGTCACATGCAATAAATTATAGGGTGTCAAATTGTTCGACTGTTCAGAAATGGTATTAAGCAAACGAACATTGCCAGAACAGTAGGGCACCCCTATGTACTGTATCCAAAATCCTGAAACGTTATCGGACTACAGGAAACGTTGTTCCAGGGAACTCTACTGGTAGACGACAAAACACTTCTTCCTTAGATGACTGCGTTTTGATCAGGTTAACGCATAAAGGTCGGAGGAAGTCTTGCAACATCTTCCAACAAGAATGGCATTAACATATTCATTACAGGATACCCAGAAGAACAGTGAATAGGAAACTGACTAATGAAGGTTATTTTGCAAGAAAGGCTATCTGCAAACCGATATTACCCAGAATTCACCGCCATCACTGTGTTACTTGAGCAAGACAGCAAGCCAACCTATAATTAGGACACTGGCGACATGTCATATTTTCTGATAAGTCCTGTTTCTGGCTTTTTAAAGCTGATGGTAGGATTCGTGTTCGTCGTTTCCCACAGAGAATACATAGGAAGTGGTGCAGTGCATGTTTGGGCAGCTATTCATCATAGTGGAAAAACTTATTTTTATATCCTACAGAGAAACGTCAATGGCGCCTCCTAGAAGCATCATATGGAGATGATATTTCTGCCATATGCTAGGGCAAGGTTTGGCAATAACTTTATGTTCCACGACGACAATGCTACTGCTCATATTGCGCATATTGTACAATATTATCTTGACCAGGAGGACATTACAAGGTTGCCATGTCTAGCAAAGTGTCCAGTTTGTAATCCCACTGAAAATTGTTGGACAGAACTGAACCGGAGAATTGTTTGTTTGTTTGTTTTGAATTTCGCGCAAAGCTACACGAGGGCTATCTGCGCTAGCCATCCCTAATTTAGCAGTGTAAGACTATAGGGAAGGCAGCTAGTCATCACCACCCACCGCCAACTCTTGGGCTACTCTTTTACCAACGAATAGTGGGATTGACCGTCACATTATATCGCCCCCACGGCTGAAAGGACGAGCATGTTTGGTGGGACGTGGATTCGAACCCGCGACGAGCACCCTAACCACCTGGCCATGCCAGAATTGTTAATCACGACCCTAAAACAGCTACTGTAGCTCAGTTGTAGTGCCTTTTAGTGACAAGTTGGAATAAAACCACGGTAGATTACATCAATAACCTCATCTACAGCATGCCACATCACCTTGCGGAGGTTATTACAGTACGAGGAGGTCCAACCAAGTAATAAATATTTAATATGAACTGATATAAGGTTACAGATTTTATCTATAATAATTTGATGTTACATTTTGTCATTATATATGTTTTGTTGTGATAGATGAAATGCTGAATTACACATCTTTCTAGAGGTGTTTGACAAAATTCTTTGGTGTTCTAATAAATCGTACATGATGTCCATAGACCATGTCTCATTATACAACTTACATATGTAGATGTTTAATACAACATGCATTTCTAAGTTTGACAGTTAAGTGTATTTGCATTCCATCTTAATAATAATGATCTTATTAGTTACAAAATATACAAACATTTTGACCAAGATTGTACATATATATATGTGTGTTGTGTGTGTATTGTGGCTGTTATAGAAATATGCGTCATGTCTTTCTTTCTTCATGCCCGGCATGGCCAGGTGGATAAGGCGCTCGACTCACAATCTGAGGGTCGCGGGTTCGAATCCGCATCCCACCAAACATGCTCGCCCTTTCAGCCGTGGGGGCGTTATAATGTGACAGTCAATCCCACTATTCGTT